CCTGAGATCATGAAAGCACCAGTAAGAGGCAACAGACTCAACAATGGAGTGACATAATTAACACACTGAAATAAAAAGAAACAATATGTTGGAACCAGAATTATATTCATACATATATGATATAAAAATAAAGCATTTTTGAACCAACACAAGCTAAGAGAATTCATGGTCAGTTGTGCAGTGTCAGGGTTGATGTATTAGTCAGAACCTACTGACTTATTACGACTAGTTTGTATCTTCAGTCAAAACTAATCACAAAGGGTAATGGCAACTAAGGTTGTACTGCAGTTAGCAATATATTCAAATCAAGAACCCATTGCCATCAAGTCAGTGCTGACTCACGAGGTTTCGATAGGACGTTGTGGAAGTGGCCCCTTAGGGTTTTCCAAGGCTGCCATCATTTCAGAAGCAGACTGCTACATCTTTCTTCCATGGAGCAGCTGGTAGCTTTGAACCATCACCCTTTGGGTTAGCAGCTGTGCCACCAGGGCTCCTTGGTAGTATACCACAATGTAGTTTAATTCACAAGCCCAAGGGGAAAGATTGTCCCCACATCAGACCTGTTGTTGTGATCTTTCTAGACCATTAAAAACAACAGTTCCCTTGTGGCCTGAGTTTAGGGGCTGGGGGTGCAGTCTTGTGTAATGGTGATGGATCTCGGGTGTTAGGACAATGTTACACAACCCTGCATTTTTATCATTCTAGTGACTTGTGCTGGACGAGAGGAGCTTACTTCCCTGCCAGATATTTATACAAGCTAATCAGAGGCTTGATGCAACGCAGATGGCGATAACCTTTCACTCGACAAAGTTCATGTGGAATTTCTCTTTGGCAGCAAGGGTTTACCTCATTCATTTTTCTGCGTTTCTATTTCTTAAATAGAAATTAGATTTCTTAAATGCCTCACAAAGGGTAGCAGATGATGTAAACTATTTTGGTAACAGTAAAAAGAGACTCAAGGGCCGTGCCTCTATTGCATTCCACAAGCATTACCATGGACCTATTGACTTCTGAAACTTGGGGCATGAAAAAATAGGCTTTGTGGAGCCATGTGTCATCATCCAAGTAAGGTGAAGCTCAAAAACTGTGCAGGAGGCAGGCAGGAGAGTAGAATATTGTCCATAAATCATCCCACCCCTTCTCTATCTCTACAGTGCTGTGTAAATCATACATTGTGTAATTGTTTGCTTGGACTACTAGGCTGCTCTTCTTTTGCTAAAATATCATCTTGCCATCAGATACAATGATTTCTGTAAATGTTCACCACTTTTCTGCAGGAAGAGAAGAACAATAGAACTTGAAGTGTTTTGTGCACGGTGGAGCTGTGTGCAGTGTTTTCTTGTGTGAATCCTAATTTAGGCTGTTCACATAAGTTATGACTACATTGCAAGACAGCATTTGTAACACCACGTTCAAAGGGGCTTCGAGATGAAGCATCCCCAACCTTGGCCTGCCCTTCGTAGTCTTTAACAGCGTATTTACCTTTTCTCAAGAATAAGTGTATGTGCCAGTGATCAAGTATTTCATGATCACGATCAGGCAATTGAGGTGGAAAAAAAATAACATTTAAAAATTTTCCTCACGCTATGTTTAATTTACACTTTGTGGTCCCAACCCACCTGATGACAGAAGACTCCATCTAGATTCATTCAAGCAACCTCAATGTCAGAAATTTCGGAACCCTTGTCTATTAAAAATTCACTCACATGCCGCATCTTTTCCCTCTCCCTTCCTTCCTGAAGCAGAGCCTCGGCTCTGTGGCTCTTGCAAACGTACAGCAAAGAGCGGCCCCTCTGAGCTCTGATATACCCTGCACAAGCATCTTGAGATATGCCATTGTCTTGTCATATGTTTGGGTCATAGCAAGCCTCCATGGCAGCTGTTATTTCCCTCCGTGTAACCATCTCCTGAGCCTTCCAGGACGCTGTATGTCAGTGTTACCAGGGAAACACACATAGGCAGTTGGTTTCGGTTCATAGGGTCCACGGTCTCTTCCGTTGGCAAACATGTAATCCTGCAATGCTCTGTCTCCAAGTCCTCTCGAGGAATACAAAAGGCTTGAGATACTTCTAATTTTCTCTCCCTTACTGGTCTATAAAGTTATAGTGCTAAGGAATAGTTGCCCATGTCATGCAAGAATATTGTCCTATGCCATGTGACCAAGAGTACATATGTGGGACTTCTTACAATCCCCTATGTCCAAATGGGAATGGGACTGATGGATCCCTGTACCTGAGGGGATGTCAGTGATCCCTTCTTCTGAGATGGATCAGTGCAGAGAGCAGGGCCTTCCAGCAACATCTAAAATCTTCTTGCTTCTCACTCGCTTCCTTCACCTCACAAGTTCTACTTTAGTCTGCATGGGGTAGGGGTGGAGGGGTGGGGGTGAGTTTCACACTTCCCAACTCTTCCTGTCTTTCATGAAGAGTACAGCTTTTTAAATCTTGAGAGGCAAGAGTTTTGAGACTGTTGATTGGACCCTTTGGTGTGTGGATTTGGGGACTACATGTGTCGTCCTGCCACACACACCAGCCTCTGTGCCTCGGATCAGGATGGTCCCATCTGTACTGTTTATGTTCCTGGACTGTTTCACTTGGTTTCTGAGAAGGGGTGGAGTGTTTGAATACCTCTCCTCAATGTGTAGCTTAATCGGGTAAGCATGGTCGGCAGTTCAAACCCACCAACTGTTCCCTGGGAGAAATGCGAGGCTCTCTGCTCCACTAAGGATCTAGAGTCTCAGAAACACTCAAGGGTGGTTCTACTCTGTGCTCTAGGGCTACTATTAGTCGGCACTACTGAATGGTAGTAAGCCTCAAAGGTCATTTTAAATGTCGTTTGTTGTTGTCGTTGTTAGAGTCCCTTGGGTTGATTTTTCACTCATTGTAACCTCATGTCACAGAGTAGAATGCCCCCGGGAACTTTCTTGTCTGTGCTATTTATGGGGGCAGGTTGCCATTTCTTCTCCCATAGAGCTGCTGGGCAGGTTGGCAATGCCAGCCTGTCAGTTAGCAGCCAAGTGTCTTAATCCTTACAGATTCACATTTGATTAAATTAATTTTCTTTAACTTTGAGTTGCACAGCTTTAGCCACAGCAACAAACATACACTGAAACACCAGGCTGAGACTGGCTGCGTTATACTCAGCAGTCACTGGCTTACGCTGGTAAAGAGGGCCTTCGGCAGACATGAGAGAACGTGATCATCTAGGGAAATTTATGAACGGATCCTACTCTCTAGTGTGAATTAGGGAAGTCTTCTTCTTCCATAGTATCTCTTACCTTTATAAAAGCGTAAGGCAGAGTTGTCCGTTTTCATGCATGCTTTCTGAAAATCCTGCTGTATTTCTAGAATTACTCCTTGACGCAATTGAATTGCCTCTAAGAATTTACTAGAAAATATTTTGGGCACTTTTACCGTTCCTACACATTTTTAATGAACAGCATCAATGGCAAATTGAATTACAGTGCTAGATTCCCTAGTGGATCTCTTGTGCCTTTGAAGTTTAATGTTGAAAACAGTAATGGTAATATATACAGGCTTTTAAAGAGGGTTCGTTTTTCCTTACTATCTGGGAATAATGAATAATGTATAATATTGTAAAGCATAATTCACTTGTCCTAAAACAACAAAACCCAAGTGGCGGATTTAAGGAATCACTATTTTTCTATACTGTGTTCACACAGCACCAAATGCAGCTGATTTTGTGCTCATACTGGGTGGCCCAAAAAATATGAAGCATTGAATCAATTTTATAATTTTGGATGAGCACGGGGAAGATAAACACTGTAAACTAGCTGTGCATCAGTAGGGAATAATCCTGCAGGGATGTATTTATGCATGTTGAATGTATACAAGGTAGTACCCCCTCCAAATGAATTTTCCCTCCAAAGCTATGCATTTAATTTAATTTTTTTAAACAAAACAACCTATCACCTTCAAAGTACTGTCCATTACACTTAATACATTGGTCAAATCTGCTATTCCATTCTTGGAAACATTGTTCCAACTCATCTGTTTGGACAGTTCCTCCCTCATTTTTTTCTTCACCTCTTCTACATCATCAAATCACTGTCCTTTCATGTCTGTCTTCATTCACAAAAACCAAACCAGGTGTTTTTTTGTCAACACTGTTATGCAATCTTATCAGAACCTCTAAATAGAAAGCTGGATTAACAGTCTGACCTGGTGGAACAAACTCCAAATACATGAAGAGTCTACAATTTTGTCCATTCAGGAAGTTGATGGACTTTCAGAACAAGTTTGTCATCAATCAACATTTCACCATATCTATCTATCTATCTATCTATCTTTCTTTCTTTCTTTCTTTCTTTCTTTCTTTCTTTCTTTCTTTCTTTCTTTCTTTCTTCCTATCTATCTATCTATCTATCTATCTATCTACCTACCTATCATCTATCTATCTGTTTAATTATTTGTTCATTCATTCATTCACTTATTTATCTTAATTTCATCTATTTTGAAACAAGAAATCCACTCGTATACTTGAGTTTTTCCCATAGCGCTATCCTTGTAACCTGTGTCCAACATCACAACAGTTTCTGCCGCATTTTTCTTGAGCAGGAAACTAAACTTCACAGCCGCACACTGTTCTCTTAAATCCGTCATCACAAAAAATGAGATGTGAATGAACTGCTTTCATGAAAAAATTCACTGTGACCAGAGAGAGCCTTCCCAGGCAATGGTACTGGGTGCACTAACTCAGAGCAAGTTGCTAGATGCTCCCCTAGTGGGAAAACTTAGTGCTGTGAAAGCTCCACTCCACCCAGAGCAATTATGTTTTTTTTTATGGGGGAGGGCTTTGATATCTCCTCGTATATGTGTTTGGAATATATAGTCAGTGGCTTTTGAATCAACTCCACTCATGATGACCCCCATGTGTGTCATGTTCCACAGGGTTTACAATGGCTGAAATCTAATGGAAGTACATCAATAGACCTTTCTTCAGAGATGCCTCTCAGTGGACCTTTTAGTTAGCTGACGATCATGTTAACATGTATCTATGTAATTCTGAATATTTCAAATGTGTGTATATGTGTATGCATTTACTCGGAAGCAGATACATAAGCCCTGAGTTATATTTAGTTTGTATTTGGAAAGTCTGATAATCAATGAAGACTTGTTCATCAATAACTCAAAAAGCTCCAAATTCACTGTCATTAAATCAACACTGCCTGATAGCTACCCTAGGACACAGTAGAACTGCCCCATGAGTTTCCAAGACTTTCAATCTTGACTGAATTAGAAAGCCCCAAGGAGTGGCTGGTGGTTTCGAACTGCCACTCGTAACCCAGGACACAACAGAGCTCCAGTCAGTTTTTCAATAAGTGATCTTATTGACAGACAAAATTCATTCCACAAACATTACTTGCCCTTCATTAGTAAATTGCATAGCAATAACATGCAATACATCGTCAGTACTTTTTACATGGTGGTTCTGTTGAGTAACTCAAGGAAATAGACATGAGATGACCGTCACTGCAGGCTCTTGTTGATGCCTCTTTCTGTTTTACTCTCCCTCATCAATGCTTGGATTCCCCACCTTCCAGAAATACTTATGCTCCTGACAAACACCTAGGAGACAACCTGGTAAAACTCATGTTTTCTTATTCCATTGCAGCAAATTCTTCGTCATTCTAGAGAAAATGCGACGAAAGTCATATTTCTCATTACTGATGGCTATTCCAATGGGGGTGACCCTAGACCAATTGCAGCGTCGCTGCGGGACGGGGGCGTGGAGATCTTCACTTTTGGCATATGGCAAGGAAACATCCGAGAGCTGAATGACATGGCTTCCGCCCCAAAGGAGGAGCACTGCTACCTGCTCCACAGTTTCGCAGAATTTGAGGCTTTAGCTCGCCGGGCACTGCATGAAGGTAATGGAATCCTAGTGGCTCCCTTTTGGCTTCCCACCTGAACCCCCCAAGAAATTAATTCCAAATCCTCACAAGGGCCTCGCTGAGCATGATGCACACGTGTCTTGTGTGCATACAGAGCTGTGCTGAACTTCCTGCTAAGATGACAGAGTGGCCTTCCCACAGGAGTATTGTTGCTGTTGTTTGGAACAGCTGTGATATATTTCCCCCACACTCTCCATATGCTCCCACCTGGCACTGTCAGAATCCACGGAATGCATTGAGGTGCATTTCCAGGCCACACACAGAGTGGGAAGCCTGCAGTTAGGTCCCATTCACAGTTATCTGGACAGCTGAAGTAAACATCCTGAGACAGGCATGGTGAGCCTCACCAGGATGTTTCCAGAAATACACATAAAGACAGACGGACAATTGATACTTGACACATACTTCTTGCTATCACAGCTTGAAATACATGTGTTTATGTATGATCCTAAAAGCAGTAACCCCCAAAGAGGAGAAAATCAGCAAATCCATTCATGACTGTTCTTTATGCACCATTTATAAGGATGTGTAATTGTATGAGTTAGTGTGTTAGGAGACAACAGACAAATTAGGTGACAAATCTGGCTTGATCCTTGTATGTATGATTCAACCAATGTTAAATTATGACAGCACAGGGGTCCAAGAAATTTGTGATGCCTATAATGAGTGGACCAGGCCTCCCATAGATAGTTCCAAGAGGAGACTAAGATCTCATGCAGTGGTTGTGAATAAATACAACAAAAAAGCAAAAAAGATTTATCTCTGAAGGATGATACAGTTCAAAGGGAATGAACTTCATTTCCCTTGCCTGTATGTTTTGTTCTGTTTTTTTTCTTGGGTTTTTTTTTTTTTTTTTTTGAGGTTCCTTTCCATTTGGGTGGATCCATTCCAAGTCTCAAAATTGTGCAGACTTCTGACCAGTCTCAGTAGACATAGGTTATGGAAGCATAGCTTTCCTCATATGTACCTTGTCCATTTACCCCTGTCCCAGACCTGAAAGCCAGTGCACTAGCCCTGGCTAGGTTGTTATTGCTCTCAACGCTGTTTATTAAGGGAACCCTGGTAGCATAGTAGTTATGCATCAGGCTGTTAACTGCAAGGTCAGCCATTTGAAACCACCAGTTCCTCTGCAGGTGAAAGACGAGGCTTTCCACTTTCATGAAGAGTTACAGTCTCAGAAACGCACAGGGCCAGTTCTACTGCCTTTGAGCACTAGGAGTTAGACTTGACCACTGACGGTGAGTTTGATTTTGGTGATTTAGTGGTTACGAGCTGGACTGCTAACTGCAAGGTCAGCAAGTCAAAATCACCAGCCACTCAAGTGGAGAAAGACAGGCTTTCCACTTCCAGAAAGAGTTACAGTCTTGGAAACCCACATGAGCGGTTCTCCCCTGACCAACGGTCGCTATGAGTTGGAATCGACTCAATAGCATTGAGCTTGTTTTTTTGGAGGTTGTCTATTGCCAAGTAAACCTGTGGCTCAGTGCCTCGGAGCTGTGTTGGGAACCCATGTTGAATACCTTTTAAACCGTGTGCCCCACCCCACCCCCCTCTCAGTTGGATGTAGCTGTGATAGGGTCCCTGGGTCTTGTGGTCACTTTCCCTAGAGGCTGAAATCTCTCTTTTCTATTGCTCAGAGTCATAATTCACAGGTGCCAGTTTTGGTTCTGACCATCACCAATCTCCTTCCCAAGTAGTCAGCCATAGCCCGTGGATCTTGCTGAAGGTTACCCACTTGAGTTCCTATTGGGGACCCATCAGTATTTCTGGTTCCAGCAACATAGCGCTGGAATCAGACTGACCTTGACCTCCTTCAGCAGAGTAAATGGACCTATTGTTTGCCCGCTTCTGGCCCTTCTATTGCGGGTCAGCTATACGACCGTTACTCTGCTTTGTAAAGTCACCTCTTAGCTTGGTTCTAACCATCAGAACGGGCTCTATTTATATTACACGTGACAATTTGTTTCAAATTAGGAGATGAACTGGATTCTGCTTTTATTATTTCCTTTAGCTGGTGCAATGATTTAAGTTTATAATCAAATCACTACCAACACAGATTGATAGTTATTCTTAAATCAGTAACTCATGGTCAACACCCTTACCCTACAGCCAGGATCGTCGTTTTATTTCTAATGTGAACAAAGGCTTTGGTGGTCTGGCTGTGCTGCCTGGCCTCAGAGGGAAGCCGTGGGACTGTGCTGTGTGCAGGCCAGGGAGTGACCTGGGGGACTGACTGCCTTACTTCCTGCTGCATCTGGAGAGACCTTGCTAAAGAATTTCCCTTCTGCCTGACCCCGCATGGCCTTGCGAACTGATGATGTGATCCCAGACTGAAATGATTTAACTGGCTGAAGCCAAATTCCCCGACTGTGGTGGTGCAAATCATACACATTCATAGTTGGGTGGGGATGGGGGAGCAGTTGGGAATTAGGCGGATGGGAAAGAAAATTTTCTCCAGCCTGACTTTAAGTGTTCCGAGGCTACAGAATGGAACATTCAACTACTAATTCATTTTTTACTGCCCTCTGTCTCCTGTTATTGGTAGATCTGCCTTCTGGGAGCTTTATTCAAGAGGATATGTCCCATTGTTCGTATCTTTGTGAAACCGGCAAAGACTGCTGTGACCGAATGGCAAGCTGCAAATGTGGGACACACACCGGTCAATTTGAATGCATCTGTGAAAAAGGCTATTACGGGAAAGGACTACAGCACGAATGCGCAGGTGAGTCTCCAGTGTCTGTATCAGTTAGCTCTTGCTCTGTGATAAACGCCCCCAACACTCAAGGGCTGAAAACACTTAGTTTGGGGGCTTTGTGTTAGCTGTCCCAGCTGTGCTGGCCCAGCTACTTGTGATCATATGGCTCTTCCAGCCATAGTCGTTTACTGCCACCAAACAGTCGTTTGTTGAAGGTGGTGCGGGATAGGAATAGGATTCAGTTATAAGGGACAGGGTAAATCGTGATTGCCCTCCTTCTGGGTGTAAAATGAGCCATCACCGAAGAAGGAAGGATTTCCGTCCCAGCAGGAGAGAAGAGCCAGGATCCGGAGTGCACTCTTTGAAGCCTAAGATCCCTGCACATGGAGTTTCCTGGAGCCAAGTGACAGCTTTGACACCAGAAGAGTGGCAGCCGTGTAACCCAGAGCCAGCGCATGAGGTGGAGCAATGGACTTCCCAGTGCACTTAGCAAATGTGGCCGAGTGCCTTCAGGCAGGGGGCCGACTGGTGAAGTGAGAGCCTCCCGGAATGGCATTGAGGAAGCAAGGTTTGCTGATCCCCAGAGCAGTTTGCACCCACCAGCTGTCCCATGGGGGAAAAAGGGCACTTTCTGCTTCCATGATTATTTTCAGTCGCGGAACCCCACAGGGGTAGATGTACTCTGTCCTTTCATGGAGCGATGAGTCAGAAGTGACGATGGCAGGGAGGTCACCCCTCCCATGTAGTTAGAGGACGCCACGTGTGGCTCCCAGCGCATTTCTCTTTACAGTCCATTCTTGGTCTCAGCTGGCTTCCCTTACATGGTTAGGGGTCATCTGCCTGTCATCTAAAATGCTTCAGACAACTAGACTGCTCTCTAGGTGACTTCCCATCCGCCATCACAGTTCCCTGGATTTATATGCGTGGCAATGGCTATGGTCTAGGATGAAAAATGGATGCTTGCAAGGTTTCTTGAAGCCTCGACTCAGAACTAGGAGCGGAAAGATGGGGGGATTTCCACCCCCCCTGTAATCAATCAGCTATATTAGCCAAGTGAGGCCCCTCCCACCTTCTGTTTCAGCTGCTGTATATCAGCCCCAAATGATAGCAGCATTATACACAACGGCACAAACTTTGCCCGATGCAGCTCTAGCCTCGTGACTGCTGAGGATCAGACCATATTCTCCCATAAGGTTCTCACTGGCTGGTATATGGAAGAAGATTACCAGGCCTTTCTTCCTAGTCTGCCTTAATCTGTAGGTTCCACTAAAACCTGTTCAGCACCATAGCAACACACAAATTCCCACTGCAGGGTGGGGGCAGCCTATAAATCCAAAAATTAAAATAAAGACCAAACCCACTGCCATCGAGTCTCTTCTGACCCACAGTGGCACTGTGGGAGAAGAAAGAATGTCCCATGTGGGTTTCCTAGACTCCATGGGAGTAGAAGGCCCCCTCTTTCTCCCACGGAGCAGCTGGTGGTTTCAAACTGCTGACCTCTCAGTTAACAGCCCAACGAGTAACTACTATACCACCAGGACTGGGTGCATTAGCTGGGATTTGAACTCAAGCCTCCCATGGAGGGTGAGTAGTTTACCAATGAACCCACCCTACCCTCACTCAAGCTCAGATATACCCCGGCCAAACTCACTGCCATCGAGCCCATGTCGACTTGTAGGGACCATAGCAAGCAGAATAGATCTGCCCATGTGAGTTTCTGAGATACTAACTCTTTATAGGAGTAGAAAGCCTCATCTGTCTCCCAAGGAGCAGCCAGTGGGTTTGAACTACTGACCTTGGGGTTAGCAGCCCAATGTGCATGAAATTAAAGCCAGTAAACTTCCAGAGCCCAGACCACGTGCAGTTTATGAGACCATCACAAAAAATGCACATTCCTTTGATGGTTTTTTAGAATGTTCTGAACGTCTCATCACTTGTTGTTAGAAACCCGCCCCCCCTCCCGGCACTTTATTTTCAGCTCTGGAAGTCAGAGAGGAGAGATGCTTACCTCTCTGTTTTGTGCTAGAGGCTAGAAGGACAGGGAAGGACTCTCAGGCTTGATGATGACTCAGGACACACCTGGTATGTAGAAGTAGTCTGCTGCTCTTCTGGGTTTTCAGTTGCTCATTTGTTCTCTTTTTAGCTAAACTTACAGCAATACAGGTTTTCATAGTTTGCAGCTCTCTCTGGTGTTGCTGTTTGGTGAAAATGCATTCCCATGGAAAAGTTAGAAGCAGTAGGTATGCTTTCTACAGTCAGTACCATGTGGTCGCTGCGTGTGTTTCTTGTGAACCTGCTTTTCTTCTGGGAGCTGGTCTGCAGCACAGAAACGTGGTCTTCATTGTCTACCTATCTACTTTCTGTCTTCCCTTCCCCTCCCCCCCCCTCCTTTTTTCTTGTGGGCTAACTCCTCTTGTATTCTCCTTTGATCCTCTTTCATTCCTCTTGCCCCTCTCCTCTCTTCCTCCCCCTGGCTCAGATCCCAGCTGGCAGACCCATCTTTCTGGGGTCCACTCCAACCCCCACCAGCAGACGTTCTCACTGAAGCAGGAAAATCGGGGAGGGGAGCATGGCAGGGGGGCCGGGTTGGGGGGATCAGCCCAACTGCCTTTGAGTTGGCAAGATGCCTCTCCTGGCTTACCCCTCCCCCTGACTCTTCCCACACTCCCACCAAGCAGCCAGCTTGGCACTGTCCCCAGCACCTCCGCCCTTTCTAGCCCACCACGCACAGGCAGCAGCTCCCATTTGCTCCCTGCTGCAGTCAGCAGGTCTGGTTTCCATGTGGTCCTAGACAGGGGTACTCCTTGCCAATAAGGCACTGCCACGTGGTTGCCCAGAGGCCTCAACCTCACCGTGCATCATGGCCCTCGGCTACAAGTATCGAGCATCTCAGGGTAAGTAGAGGGAAGAGAAAGGCGGCAGTTGATAAACTCTCTGTGCCCACTCACCCAAGTAGCCAAGGCTGATACCAGAAGCACATTCCAGACCAAAAGCACCATATGCACATCGGATGGGCTGATCATTTGCGTGTCAATGGAGAGAAATGAGGACCTCCTGATGCTGCTTCTGAACACCAAAAAAAAAAAAAAAGACCCAAAATCTGATTTATCCCATTTCTTTGATGAGTGAAACTCAGCTAAATGCTCTCTTAGACCAGTGGGTGAAGGGAGACGTCGGACAGGGCAAGATATGACAAAATAATAATTTATAAATTATCAAGGGAGGGGGGAGCGGGGAGGGAGGGGAAAATGAGGACCTAATGCCGGGGGCCTAAGTGAGAGGAAATGTTTTGAGAATGATGAGGGCAATGAATGTACAAATGTGCTTTACACAATTGATGTATGTATGGATGGTGATAAGAGTTGTATGACCTCCTAATAAAATGATTTTAAAAAACTCTCTCTTGAACCAACCCAAACTCACTGCCATCAAGTCAATTCTGACTTCTAGTGAACCCCTGTAGGTCTCTGAGACTGTCACTATTGATCGGAATAGAATGCCCAGTCTGTCTCCCTCGGAGCTGCTGGTGGTTTTGAACTGCCAACCATGAGGATCACAACCCAACTCGTAACCACTACACCACCAGGGCACCAGTCTCACAGCTGAGGTTTAACTGAGCTATGTGCTTCCTAGGCAATGCCATTGTTTATTTCATGATTTTCCGTCGTTGCTCCTCAGAGAATAGGAAAGATAGCACTGAGGGCCCCTGTGTGTACTGTGGCTTTGGGTGACTGCAGGGGATGCCTCTCTTCTGCCTCTACCTTCCACTCCCCTGGCTTAGATAAGAGAGGAGCCCTGGTGGCATAGTGGATTATGAATTGGGCTGTCAGCCGTAAGGTCAGCCGTTCAATACCACCAGCCACTCCATGGAAGAAAGAGGAGGCTGTCTACTCCCATAAAGATGTATAGTCTCAGGAACTCACAGTAGCAATTCTGTTCTTCCCTTAGGGGCACTCTGAGTTGGAATGGTAGTGAGTTTGGATTTTGAGTGGAAGAACTAAGAGGAAAATAAATAAATGACCTGAAAAAAATGCATTACTCTACTGTCTAAAAGTCAGGAAAGAATATTATGTCTAGAACTTAAAGCCTGAACACTGTGAGCTCCTTTTAAAATCCATGTCAGCAACAAATATTGAAGAGCATCTTCTGTATGCCCCACCCATGCTGGACTCAAGAGGGGGAGTCATTGGTGCAAACAGATACGGTCTATGCCTTCTTGGAGTTTAAAATCTAATCACACAGATAAATGTGTAATTACAAACTGTGATATCATCTATTCAATGAAAAGGCAGTGTTAGGCTTGACGCGAGAAACAAATCCACTGGTGTTCATCTATGCATCACAAAGAGCTTTGTATCAAGAAGTAATTCTATATCAAGAAAACATCCCAGCCCAGTGCAGCTCATGTCCCTAAGTCAGATACGAGTCCATAAGCTCCTCTTCAGACTCACATGCAATGGTGCAGAATGCAGAAAGATCACAGGCTGTTGGGTACAAAGCCTTGTGGATCCAAAGTCTGTGGAAAACATCTCAGGGCTCCCGCAGCTCTCAGGGTGGCCGGCAAGCAGGAAGGTGAAGGCAGAGAGAGAGAGAGAGCAGCCTCCAGGGAGCTATATTTTTAGATCGCACCACCAAGTGAGGTGACCAGACTACGACCTGCTTGACAGGTTGAATATCATTCCTACACGTTTATGTGTCTTCAAGATGACATGAAATGATGTGACTACCACAAGGGCCCCAGGGAAGGCTCAGCGGAGACACTGTTAGTTGTAATCAAGTCAGTCCTGGCTCCTAGCGACCCTATGTACAACAGAAAGACACCGCCCAGTCCTGCAGCCTCCTCATTGTTGTATTTGAACCCACTGTGGAGTCACCAGGGCAATTCAACTTATAGAGGGTCTTTCCCTTTTTCACTGCCCGTCTGTTATTCCCAGCATGATGCCCTTTTCCAGAGACGGTCCTCTCGTGATACCATGTCCAAAGTATGTGATAAAAACGCTTGCCATTCTTACTTCTAAGGACAAATT